TTTTTTACATTGGAGTCTCACTCTGCTGCCCAGGTTGGAGTGCAATGGCATGCTCACGGCCACTGCAGCCTCAACCTGCTGGGCTCATGTGATCCTTCTGCCTCAGCCTTCCAAGTAACTAGAACTACAGGTGTGCGCTACCATGCCTGGTTTATTTTTTGATATATTGTAGAGACGAGGTCTCACCAAGTTGCCCAGGCTGGTCTCAAACCCCTGAATTCAGGAATCCTCTTGCCTCAGCCTTCCAAAGTGCTGGGATTACAGGCTTGAGCCACCATGCTTGGCCTGGTTCCATTTTTAAAAGATGCCTTTGACTGCTGGCTGGAGTATGATGGTAGGGGCGAGGATGCGCACAAGTACAGAACTGAAGGAGACCCCAGTGCATAGCCTTGAAAGAAATCACAGTCGCTTCCTCCATCTCAGTTTTCTCAGATTCAAACGAGGGAACTGGTCAGGATTTATTGCTAAGGCAGCAGTTCTCAACTGAGGGATATTTTGTCCCTCCCCCTAAGGGGCATTTGGTAATGTCTGGAGATATGCTGGTTGTCACACCTGGGTAATGCTGCTGGCTCCTAGGGGTTAGAGGCCAAAGATGCTGCTAAATATTCTACCATGTGCAGGACAGTCCCAGAAAGCACAGAGTTTTCTAGTCCCAAATGTCAACAGTGCCCAGGTTGAGAGACTCTGCTCTAAGCCCTCCAGCTCTGCTGTTTTTGTCACTGGATCCCAGGCCAAGAACCTTCCAAAATATTTCCCCTCCCTAATGCCTCTTGGCCTTGGCCTTAATCCCATCCCCCACGGTCCACTTTTGTTCCCAGAGCATCCTCTAGATTCAGTGCCGCTCTGTCTCCTGAGTGCCCCTCCCGGTTGAGATCTCAGTCATGCCAGGCCTACCTCTTTCCCCACAGGGATGCCACTGCCCAGCCCTGCGGTCAGGGCCACAACCTTGGCCACAAAGGCCTTGAGCGTGAGATATTCCTTCAGGACAACCCCACGAAGTATTGTCTTCATTTCAGGGATTCCAGAGCCTAAAAAAATCAAAAGATTATGTGCAGGATCAAGACAAAGGTTAAAAGAGAGGTGAAGGTGCAGAAAGTGGAAATGGGGGTGGAGGAGGGCCCAAGAGGCTGAGTGTGTGTGTGGCATGGCGGGGTGGGACAAAGGCTGTGACAGGGGTTGGAGGAAGGGAGGAAGGCAGTGGAAGGTTTCAGGTCACCCAAGTCAGGTTGAGTCTGGTAGAAAATTCTCACCAACAGCCTGGGGAGAGATGAGGTGGCAAAAGAGGGCGCTGAAGAGGATGAGGATGAGTGGGAAGGTGACCCAGGCCAGGAACTGCAGAGGAAGGCTGGGCTTCATCTGAGCGTAGGTCCACTTGTAAGCTGAAGAAACACACTGGGGTTAGGCAGAGTATGGGTAAGATACTGTGTCCATAGCACCAGATAGCATATTGGGGTGTCCTCATATCATGGTGATTTCATTTGCCCTCCCAAGATGGTACTACTCTCATTTTACACATGGGAAACTTGAGTTGTGGGCGGGGAAGCGGCCTGTTCAAACTCCCGCTTGTACTAGGTGGTCAATGGCTGTGTTGCAAATTCCACTCAAGTGCTGGGGCTGTAGATACCTGGTTAGAGGCTATCACATGACCAACCACCAGTGTGCCCAGAACTGAGGTGTTTCCTGGGGCTCAGGATGCTCGGTGCTGAAACTGGGAAGAGTCCTCAGGAAGCTGGGACACGTTGATTATCCTATTAGAGGGGCACCCGCTGTTTGGGTGGCAGCAAGTGGAGAGGGCATGAGGAGTGGATGTAGATCTGGGTCTCATCTTGTCTGGCGCTAGAATCCCACCCCATCCTGTCTCTGTGCAACAACTCTCTCCCAAAACACACCCAGTTCACCCTAGGTAGAGAGCCTAGTAACAGCTTCGGTTTGGAAAGAGGCTGAGGGCAGAAGTCCAGGTTAGGCCTACCCTGAAGGCTTTTGGCGCTGACATAGTCCATGCACCAGCTGAGCAGAGCCATCAGCAGCCCCAGAAGCACCAGAAAGATCCAGTCTTCCCCTAACTTTCTTCTCACCACATGTCCCAGGCGGCGGACACAATCTAGGAAAAGGGTAAAAAAAACGAGGAAAGCAGCTAACCAGTCACTACTTTGGGTGCATGATGTGAGAGTGAAGGGGAGGTATTGGGCCCTTAGGATCTTGTCTGTATGTCTTACTAACTGAATTTCTCTTTACCTCTCTGCCAATTGCAACCCTTGCTCCTGGAGAAGCCACCAAAATCTAATTCCCCATGAATACTTGAATTCTTTTCTAAAACTTTTGTTTCTTGGGGCTGGTGGAGAGATAGTAGAGAACAAGACAAGATGCCAAGGAGCTGGGAAGAGGTGTCTTTCCCTAATATTTAGAGAAGTGCTTTTGTGTTTGGGAGAGAAGGGCTTATGTGCAGTGGGACATCCAAGGTATTCACCTAATCCCTGTACCTCCTTCTACTCCAGATTCTTTTATTCCTCAGTCCCCATCACCTTGACATTTAGAATAGTGATCCTCATCCTTGCTGTCCATGGAAGAAGTAGAGCCCATCTTCTTGGGCATCCCTGTTTCCTGCTCCCTGTCTGAGAACTGTTCTTTGCCACGGCCATAAATCTGGACAGAGAGAGATTGGTCAATGTCTGTGTTGTTGACGAGTAAAAAGGAATAGACAGAGGGCAGCACAGAAGAGAAGTTTTTTTGAATCCAACTGCACGCAGGTTGACTGTTGGTCATCCCTGCCCTAACTCTCCACCTTTCCCCCATACTTCCCATTCCTTACCCTTGTCCACTCATCCCACCTACTTTCCATCCATCCCTCAACCTGTACTTGTCATGGTCCATGGTAGCACTCATTAAGGAGGCCAATTTCTGCTTTGAAGCAGAGACAAGAGAACTGTGCTGTGACTGAACAACCATATCAATGAGATGTTTTGTATGTCACTGTGCTTTTTGTGTGTCCCACAGTTTCCCCAGAGCACTCTGCATTAGCTTTCCTGCCTGGGATCCCTACACGGACAGAGTAAGGACAGAATGGCCTAGCCAGCAGGTGAGTCTTGGCTGCCCTTGGGCTTGGTGTGTCTAGCCTTACTCAAGGCATCGCAGGTACACTGTCAAGCCTAGCTACACCCTACTCACCTCATCTCCCAGTGCCTGTATGCACAAACAGGAACCAGTCTTCATAAGGCAAGTCAATCTATTTCTTCCCAACCAAGATAATCGGGCCCAAACCAACAAAGGGGGTGGAGCAGCACCCCTAGATCTAGTAGCCCTCCCCTCTCATGCCAATGTAGAGCATTGTGTTTGTGTGAGGCATGCAAGAGCTCCAACCACTTTTAGCCCACTCCACCTCCATTACACTAACTGCGTCCACTGGGACCAAGGTCAGGCCAGGTCATGCTGCTGATTCTGGGAGAGCCTGGGTGGAAGATATCTAATTTCACAATACGAGCAGAAGAGTTTTACGCCTCAGTCCTGAACAGGCACACACTAATTGCTCTGCTCATGACTGTTTCGTCTTCTGGGTTAGTGACCAAGGGAGGTGGCGTTTCCCTCCAAACTTTACCTGGCACCTGGGAGAGAAAAGACAGTCCCTGTGGAAGTCAGACAGTTCAGTTCCAAGAGATCCCAGGCCAGTGGAGATGAGGAAGGGGGTGCTTTGTATCCTATCATACCTGGACTGGGAAAACACTGCAAGAGCCAGATCTGCCCTGGCTAGTCGTGCTAACAGGGTTAGGGGAGGGGAAGGGAGAAATCAAAACTCAAGTCTACGACTGATGCAATGTCTGGGATTTGTTAAAAAGTACTCCAATGTGTGCAGAGGGATGAGGGTGAGAATGAGAAGACAGATGAAACAATACTGATAAAATATTGGTAACTTTTCAGAATGTGGGAGTTCATTATACAATTCCGTTTTTTTATAAGTCTGGAATGTTCTATAATAAAAATTAAGCAGTCAGGTGTGGTGGCTCATGCCTGTAATCTCAGCACTTTTGGAGACTGAGGTGAGAGGACAGCCTGAGCTCAGGAGTCAAGACCAACCTGGGCAATATAGTGAGACCTCATGGCTATAAAAATATTTTTTAAAATTAGCTGGTCGTGGCGGCACAAGCCTGTAGTTCTAGCTATTTGAAAGACTGAGCCAAGAGGATCTCGATCCCAGGAGGTCGAGGTTGCAGTGAACCATGATCATGCCAGTGCATTCCACCCTGAGTGACAGAGTGAGACCCTGACTCAAGAAGAAAAAAAAAATCAAAGAAAAATGAAATCCAAAACTCTTTTGTTTGCTTTCAAGGCCCTGTGGAAAGCAGCTCACCACTATTCCTCAGGCTACCTTACCACTGTCCTCCAAAATGAAGGCTTGTGTGGCCAGTTTCCACATTGTCACCTGAAAGTGCTATACCTGCACTGTTATTCAAGTTGTCATCCCACCCAGGTATGACCACATACATAGGTGAGTGTTTACACAGGGCCAGGAGAAGGGGCCTTCCTGTCCAGTTTCACACTGTTCAGAGACCTAAGTGAGACCCGCCATCTCCAGGAAGGCTTCCTTATTCACTATTTGAGACTATACTGGCCTTTATGTCCCTGCTTCTCAACTATGTTCCTGGGGTCACCTTCGCCACGCTCTTGGGTGTTGCTCAGGGAGAGAGTGGGTCCTCTTGATCCCCAGTGCTGAGACCACCTGCATGGCCTACCCTCTCTGGTTCCCAGCCCAAAACCTAAAGGAACAAAACCCCTTTTAAATTCTAGCCTCCTGCCCTCTTGACACAGTCCATCCTCTGTCGCATGGCATTCTTTGGAGTGAGAGACACAGTTCCTTATTAATCATGACCTGTACATTTTTCCATGACAGTGTCCCTCTCCCAGGTGTCTGAAACCCACCAATCCTCACCTCAGGATGACAGTTATCCCTGGACACCCCTAACTAGTTTGCAAGTTTCTGTCTCTGGGATGACACCTCTGTACCTTGCCAGGTATCTAACACTTAATAGGTTCTGACTTGATCATCTTGCCACCTAGAAGCTTGGTTACATTTCTGTTTGTTTTGACACTGGTAGATATCTGATCACTGATATGCAATACAATCTGTTTTCTCCACTTGTCCCTACTCCTTTCTTTTGCCTTCTGCAGAAGGCTTCGTGTGTGTGTGTTCTACAGATAGTCGGGGTGGCAGACATCTGGAGGTGTCTGCATCAGGGTGTGGGAGACAGTTCACAGCATGCTGCAGTGTGGGCTCCTACGTAAACCACTCCACAGAGGTTATGTAAGCACGAGCTTTCATGCATGTGTGGCACTGCCGTTTCCCCCATAGGTTTCAGGCATTCTGTTAGTAAGGGATGGACGAAAGGGCATGTGTATCTCTGTACGTGCATACTCTGGTGAGCCCAGGCCCTCGAAAGATTTTCATATTTTGGACACACTACTATCTACTTTTTTTAGGTTAAAAAAAAGAAACACTACTCCCTCTCTTCACCCAATTCCTAATTTTCACTCAGCTCAGTCACCGACTCCCCTTATCCACCACTCCCTCTTCCCCTTTAGGACCTTACCTGTGTGGGGTGGACATTGTGGCGGAGACCTGTGTCCTTCCGGAGCCTGTGCTGAAGGCCTCCATTCTCAGAGGGCAGTCCGTAGCTGGTGCAGTGCTCAAAGGGCATATACTGGTACTGGGGGTCACTACCCCACCAGCTCTGCTCACCCCCTCGCTGCCGTGACTCAGATTGCTCCATGTTCCCTCCCCCAGTCCCGGCAGGCCTTGGCCTGCTTGCCCCCGTCCTCCCCCCAGTGCAGCTCCTTAAGCCTCTGCTCTTGCTGTCCCCAAGTCGTCTGGGGCAGCATGCCCACCTCCAGCTATTTATAGCCCCCTCTCCGTCACATGACCCCCCCACTGCCACATCTGATCTGCTTGGGGTCGAAGCAGGTGTGAGCAGTGTGGGGGTGGAGGTTGGGATGAAGACCTGAGGGACAGCCCTGCAGGGAATTCCCTCTGCCAAACCAGCAGCATTGTCCCCCTCCTTAGTCACCAGCAGGCTGCCAGACCCATGTCATTGGTCCCTCTATAAATATTGCCCAGACCATGATGAGAAAATGCTGAGTATGCTCTCAAACCCACATGCAGAGCCAGATCTGCACTGGGGCCCTCTAAGTTGTCCAACTCTCTTCTTCAGCATACAGGTGAGGAGTGGGTGCTGGAGGAAACGACTCCAAGGTCAGGAAACACTGAAGTGATAGCTCACCTGGGAGAGCAACTGGTGCTTCTCTGCCATGTCTTCCTTTCAGCTTGTTCCTAGCTTTGTATCCTTCCAGGGTTTAGTCCTCATTTGCATCATACACTTCTGTCTGGCCAGCTCCCCAAGCCATCCGGTTTCCAGTTTTCTCCCTCAGCTCTCTGCCCCTCTGTCTGCCAGAGGCTGCTAATAACACTTTGGTGCCATCCCTTGATGTCCCCCTTATCACCCACTGGGTGTGGAACACTTGTGGGAAGCAGGCGGTAATAGCCTTGGGTTCTGGAATTTCTTCTGCTTCCCAGACTGATAAGTGTTAGTAGCCACATGGCTAGGCCTGAGGGACTGAGCTTCGATTTGGACTGTGTGGTGCCCACCATCAGTGTCTTCATCAGGACAGGTTAGATAATGGGAGAAGGGGAAGTAGGCCAGAGGCACAGGGAACAGGGAGATGGGAACGTTGTGAGGGCTTCTCATGACAAACCTGACAAATATGAAAGATGATGGGGAAGTACTCTGCTATTCTTCCCTTTTCAGGTCAATAAGTAATTTTTGGCCAAGGACAAACTACTCTTTCTGGTATTGCATTTTTTTCACCAATTTTCTTAGGACATTCCTTCTCTGTGAACTCATCATAGGAAAAAAAGTTACATACTAAGCCAAAGTTCAGGATCCATCATGAAGGGGAGTCTGTCCCAGGATAGTCCAAGCTCAGGGACTACAGGAAGGGACACCAAACAACTGGTCTCAATGTGATTTTGATCTGGGTTAGATGGAACTGCCCAAAGCAAGTGAGAAGATAGATACCATTAAAAGCACCTTTCCTCGGTGCTCAACATTACTAATTGCCAGAATAATGCAAACCAAAACCACAATGAGATATCACTTCACACCTGTTAGCATGACCGTTATCAAAAGTCAAGAAATAAATGTTGGTGAGAATGCAGACAAGTGGGAACCTTTATGCAGAGGGTGGGAAACATGGTCATTATGGAAAACAGTACCACCTTCCTCAAAAATTAAAACCAGAACAACCATATGACCCAGCAATCTCACTTCTGCATATATATCCAGAAGCAGTCAGTATGTCAAAGAGATATCTGCACTCCCACGTTTATGCAGCACTATCTACAACAGCCCAGATATGGAAACAACCTACATGTCCACCAACAGATGAATAAAAAAAATGTGGGTATATATACAATGGAATATTATTCAGTCTTAAAAAAGAAAACACTGCCAAGACAAATACCACATAATCCTGCTGATATGTGCGATCTAACACAGTTGAACTTATAAGCAGAGAGAAGAGTGGTTGCCAGAGGCCTGTCCCAGGGCAGGGGCTGGGTATGGGGGAACGTTGGTCAGAGTGTACAGATTCAGTTACACAAGATGAGTGAGTCCTGGAGATCTGATTTACGTGGTGATTATAGGCAATAATACTGTAGCGTATACTTGACATTTGCTAAGAGGGTAGATCTTAAGTGTTCTCAACACACACACACACACACACACACTCTCATACACGCAAGGTAACTGAGAGGTGAGGGATATGCTAACTAGCTTGGGTGTGGTTATCATTTCACAATGTATATGCATATCAACACATCAAATTGTACACCTCAAATATATACAATTTCTATTTGTCAATTGCCCAGCAAGAAAGCTGAAAAAAGATAAAAACACCTTTTCTAACATCAACTCTACAACCTCAAGGCCTGTTATTCATCCAGATTACAGATGTGTGATGATTTGAGGGACTAAAAGGTTCTGTGATGATACCCACATTTTTTTCAGGCAGAAAATAAGGAAAGACATTTAAGGGACTGGTAAGACGAATAAGAAATGTATGCATATTTCTTTTTAAAAGTAAAATAATATATATATACACACACATATATATTCTATTATCTATAAATACATATATTTTCACTCTGTCGCCCAGGGTGGAGTGCAGTGGCACAATCGTGGCTCACTACAAGCCTCGACCTCCCAGGTTCAGCTGATCCTTCTGCCTCAGCATTTGAACAGCTAGGACTACAGATATTTACCATCATGTCTGGCTAAGTTTTTTGTTTTTTCGTAGAGATGAAGTATCACTGTTGCCTAAGCTAGTCTCACACTCCTCCCACCTTGGCCTCCAAAATTGCTGAAATTACAGGCAAGAACCACTGGGCCTGGCCAGGAATAATTTCTTAATAAAGAAACTAGAGTGCCAAAGTGAGATGATATTCCTTGGAAGGCTTCAGAAACAGATTTTCATCTGTTTGTGAATATGGCTCTTCTGAAGGTAACCAGTTTCTGCAGGAACTTGGCAACTGCAAGAAACAAATATGAGGTGCTTCCTTACCATCCCTGAGAAAGTTCCCTAAAACAGAGTAGATGATCACAGACTCCGAGATTCAAAGGCAGCGACCAGTGGGGTCAAGAAAGCCTTCACACCTGGTCAACCTGAATAGAAGCATGTGACTAGAACAGGGGTCTCCAGCCTCCAGGCCAGGGACTGGTATCGGTCTGTGGCCTGTTAGGAACCAGGCCGCACAGTAGGAGTTGAGCAAGTGAAGCTTTATCTGTATTTACAGTTGCTCCCCATCGTTCGCATTACTACCTGAGCTCTACTTTCTGTTAGATCAGTGGTAGCATTAGTCTCATGGGAGCGTGCACCCTATTGTGAACTATACATGCGAGAGATCTAGGTTGCATGCTCTTTATGAGAGCCTAAAGCTTGATGATCTGAAGTGGAGCTGAGGCGACAATGCTAGAGCTGGGGAGCAGCTGCAAATACATATGAACATTAGCAGTGAGGTCTGACTGCACAGAGACCATAAGTAAGCTGCTTGCACACTCATATCAAAACCCAATCAGTGAGTGGTGAGTTGATACACTTCTACTGTACAGCTGCATCTGGTGGCTTTAAGTCAGAATCTGACACTTATTTTAGTCCATTATTTAGGCCTGCCCATTATTTTATTTACCACTTTCATCTGTTTTTTAAAAAACAGTGAGTTGTATAATTATTTCATCATATATTACAACGTAATCATAGAAATAAAGTACATAATAAATGTTAAATGTGCTTGAATCATCCCGAAACCATCCCCTACGCCTTGTCCACAAAATTGTCTTCCACAAAACCGATCCTTGATACAAAAGGTTGGGGACCGCTGGAGAAGGAAAGCACTGACTGTAATTCGCAAAACCAGGTTCTGAAATTAGGAGGGTCAAGGACACCCATAGTGCTGGAAGGCAAGGATTTGAGAGTAAATGTCCTTACTAGTGCTGGAAGGCAAGGATTTGAGAGTAAATGTCTTGTTTGAAGTCAGGAATAGTTTAAAACCCTTGGGTTATCATCCTGCAAGAGAACAAGAAAATGTAAATTGCCCACCCCTCACCCCAACACCCTGCTGGGCCAGTGCTTCTTATTTGAAGGGACAAGCACCGATTTCTGGGGATTCCTATGAAGCTCCTAAATTTGGAAGCAAATTCATATGCATGTGTAAATGATATGTATTCTTCTGGAGTTCTAAATAGATTATCCTCTAGTCCATGATACTCAAAGGTTAAAACCTATAGACTGAAGGAACTGCTATTTGAAGGAAGGTTGTACTATGTAGCTATGCAGGATCCAGTGTGGAGGGAAAAAGTCTGTGTCGGGGGTATACATGGTGGTGTATGAGATAGGTCTTTGATATTCTCCAAATTAATTTCAGCATGAATCTTCTTTATGGGTTACACCTTTGTTTTCTGGTTCTCATCTCAAGTCTGGTCTTCCCAGCCTACTGGCAACATAACCATTATACTCTTCAAGGATGTCTTCAGTTATCACTTTCCTCTGCATAGCCAGGAAGCATGCAATCCACACCCACCTACTTTCTGAAATTTCAGCCAAGTTACTACGACTTCATCTGAAGACCCTCTTTGCAGCATACTTCACTGGCAATCACTTCTCCTCTACTCTATCTTGGATCTCGCCTTGTCTTCCTTATTCTATAAGAATCCTTGGTCCTTTCCGGTGCTCTGCTTTCAGGCCTTCCCTGTAGTACTCAACAGGTCTCTTTCTCCCCCTTCTGGATTTTTAAACATGATACACTTTCCCCAAATTCCTACCTCAATAGGGCTAAGATGGAAAAGTCTCAGTTTCATTCTTTCAGCCTAATGGAAAGAATCTACAGACCAAAACAGGGAGAAGAAAAAACAAACCCTCTTGTTAGGAAAAAAAACATCACAGAAGCCAGGTGGTTAGCATACAACCAAACTGACAGTTTTAGTCAGCTGGCCTCAGTTTCCTCAGAAAGGCAGTAACCAGAGGGTTATGAAGATAAAAGAATGCATGCAAAAAAACTGCCATAGTGTTTGACCCATAATAAGCACACACCTCTTATTAAATGGAAGCTCATTCTGATAGCTAACATTTAACAAGTGTTTTTAATGCATCAATACCATGTGATTTACATCCAGCATCACATTTAATCCTCAAAGGGACATTTAAGATAAAAGCCATTTTCCTCATTTTTAGATAAGAGGAACTGAAGTTCAGTGTTAGCTACCTTGCCCAAGGTCTCTGATATCTTCAAAGGCAGAGCCAGCCTCCAACATCAGATCTACTTAATTCTTGAGCCCAGGCCTTTAAACCTACATTTCTTCCTTTTTTCATGACAGAAAGTCTCTGAGCCTCATCTTCCTGTCTGTGGCGAAGATAGAATGGAAAGCTCCGTGCTGAATGACTAGAGCATAGCAAGCACTCGACTGATTACAGCTATTTCTCATGTCTTCCTCCTGAGGTTCCCTCCTGCCCCCCTCCTCTTAGAGATAGGGTCTATGGTGTTCATGCTGGTTTTCAGCTCTTACCCTCGAGCAATCCTCCTGGCTCAGCCTTCTGAGCAGCTGGGACTACAGGCATGCACTACTGCACCTGGCCCCCTTCTTAATATCACAGCTTTGGTTTGATATCCCATTTGTTCCATTTCTTCCTGTTTTCCTTTTCCGCTTAGAACAAACAGGATGGAGAAGAGCAGCAGAGGGCAGCCCCCAGCTCAGAGAGGGATAATTTTAGAAGAGAATCCCCTGGCAGAGGTAAGCAGGGGAATAGAGCTATGAAATTCAACCTCATACCCTTAGTCAAGGGCAGAGGGGCGGGGAAAGACATGGAATCCAGTTGAGACAGATGCTGCTCTGTAATTCCCAAGCATATCACACCTCCAAAAAGCCTTCCTATCCTGAAAATGGGTTTTATTTTACTCCCACCATTCCATTAATTCCTTAACCTGTACTAGTCTTTGTATTCTCCCCTCCTTTGAGGCGATCCCACTGTTTTTTCTTGCAGTACAATTGACTAGTTTCAGTCCGCCTTTCATGCCCTTTTGCCTCCAAAGTTCTTCTGAACCAAATTCCCCTCTATCTGGTGATGTGCTTCAGCTCCACTCAGTCCCTTTTGCTCTACCTAGACAGCCACCTCCTCCTCTGTATTCAACAACTTTCCCCAGGTTCCACAGCTGTTTTCCACCAAAACACTCCCACAGAATTTCCCATCTCGTTTAAACCTCCATAGCCATCTGCCCCGTACTTGCCTTCAAGTATACACTTCAGGTACAATGTACCCTCAAAATACCCAAGCTGAACCAACAGTCCATTGCTCTGATCTCATATATGCTGCCCTAGGATTCTCTTACAATCTATGACCACCCTAGAAAACATTAAATCCAACCTGGACCATGGAAGAAATGAAATTCTACTATCCCCAACCTCCCGTCCTCCTATTCCTGCCCAATCTGCCACTTCAGCCTTCATCCCTTAATCTTTTTTTTTTTTTGAGTTGGAGTCTCACTCTGTCACCCAGACTAGAGTGCAGTGGCCGCTCCCAGCCACTGCAGCCTCAACTGGCTGGGCTCCAGTGATCCTTCCGCCTCAGCCTTCCAAGTAGCCAGAATTACAGGCATGCGCTACCACGCCTGGTTGACTTTTTGATTTATTGTAGAGATGAGGTCTCGCTGCCCAGGTGGGTCTCGAACCCGCGGGCTCAGGCAATCCACCCACCTCAGCCTCCCAAAGGCGCGGGATTACAGGCTGAGCCACCAAGCCCGGCTCCTTAATCTTAATAACCCAGAACCAACACCGTTTGCTAATGATTCTTCCATCTTATCCTACTGTGAGAAATCCCAAGACCATGCCAAATGAGATGGGCCCACACCTGTGTCTGTGTGTGTGTATACATATATATGTATACGCACACACACATGTATATGTAAAAGATGATGGCAGCAGGAGGCGTTTCCAACTCTAGGTGTGGTGGATCTTATGAGGTGGGAAGAATGCTGCAGTTTAAGAAGCTAGGGCCACAAACACATGCAGGCTTCAGAAGATGGAGTATCTAAAGAAACAGGTATCGGGCACAGAGATCAGTAATAAATATGAACATTTATTTGGCACCTGATGGCAATACAAAATCTTGGCAGTGGGAGTGGAAAGGTTTTATCACTCAAATACTTCCATACTATAGTGACCCCAAAGCAGGACTTGGCAGCAAGTCTTCAAACCACCCAGCTCACAGAACAAATATTTATTAAGCACCTTGACTACTACAGGCCTAGCATTTTGCTAGGCACCATGGGAGATGCGAAGGTAAGTGCCTTACAAATATCTTCAAGGACTTAAAAATACCAGTGGATTAAAACAAAACACATGGAAAAACATAGAATACAAATACTAAACTGTGTACTGTCAAAAGGAAAATTTTATCAATACAAATACTAAACTGTGTATGTTGTCAAAAGGAAAATCTTATCAAAAAGTAGGAGTCTAGCTAGGGTTGGCTTGCTTGCTTCCTTCCTCCTTTCATTCAACATTTACTGAGAACCTCCCACTGAGTGCTAGGCTCTGGGTACATAGTGGCAAATACAGAGACAAGGTTCTGCCCTCATCTACAGACTAGTAGGAGAGTTAGTAATAAACAAATAAAACAAGCCTATATATATAAATATAAATTGCGACTAACAACAATGAAGAAAATAGGATGCAGTAATAAACACAGAAGAAGACTGTTTAGAGACAGGATAGCCTGGGAAGGCCTCCAGTGTTTAAATCAAGACTTGAAGAATAAAAATGCCCCCTGAGCCAAGAGCAGTGGGAATGGAGAGTTAAGAAGGCCCAGGATGACAGCAGGAAAGAGTGCTATACATTTGAAAAACTGAGAGGAGACCACTGGGGCTGGAGCTTAGGGAGAAGAGTGACACAACCAGCTTTAATTTAAAAAAATCTAAAACTGAGGCCGGGTGCAGTGGCTCATGCCTGTTATCCAGTACTTTGGGAGGTCCAGGTGGGGAGGATTGCTTGAGCCCAGGAATTCAAGACTAGCCTTGGCAACAGAGAACCCCAACTCAAAACAAAACAAAACAAAATAAATAATAAAAAAATAAAATAACCCAAACTACTTTTTTATATGGAAAATAGACTGGAGAAAGCAAGAATGGAATAAGGTGGCCTTAAAGAACGAAAAGACTTCAGATAAGTGGAGATAAAGATTTCTAGGCAGAATGAATAACAATGTGTACAGCTTCATTGAAATAAAGGTCACAGAAAATCAAAAGGGAGTTTAATACTGAAGCAAAAAGCAGGAACAAGGTACTATGCTACATATTTCAATGGTCCAATGACCCAATGAAGCAGTGTTTTAGACAGATTTGGGGGCAACAGTAAACAGGATGAAAGAAAGGCAAAGGGGAGAGAGAGATGAAGTAGGAGGGTAACAACTAGGGAGCTTTTCTAAAATTCCAGATAAGAGGTACAGGTTGACTGAATGCAAGTGAGAACAGTGAAGAGGAGAAAGGGACATTTCACAAGAAGGAGACACCTATGCAGAAAGGTTAGAGACTGAGAGCATACCATTCTTTCTGGCCTTCTCTGACACTCCCCCCAAGACTCATTTCAGTAACAAAGCTTAGAGAAAGAACAACCAGAGATCTTTGGCACTTCCAAGGGCAAAGATCAATGGGGTACAAACGCAAGGCATCTTGCTTTCAGCCTAAAAGGAGATAGGAGCATCCTTCCACTGAGTGGCCTGGCAGTGCTGAAGCGAACGAATGTACAGGCCACTTGTGCACACAGCAACAGGCTGTCTCTAGTCACGTGTGCCTCTTCAAAGCTAAAGGAAAATGTCTACATTAAATTCGAACACCTTCCAAACTCTCACTCTGGGACAAATAGGGTCAGAAATAAGAAAGAGAAGATAGGAGATGATCTCTGAGACATCTTAACTAATGTAATCAAAGCAATCACTGAAGTGGCACCTACAAAAGCCTGGGGGGCAGGAACTGAACATAAACATGGAGGAACTCACATATCCTCTGCCCACAACCACACTGCATCTACAACGTCACTTGTCAGGCTCTTCAACTGCAGCCAAAACATTCCTGGCAACAGATCCAACCAGAGCCAGGGCTTCAGGGGAGAGCACTTCACAGAGGAGGAGCTGGCCTGGAGTCCTACACACAAAGGTGGAGATGATGTGCACAGGAAACCAGCCTGGGAGATTTCCACATCCCTGAAAGGGAACAGAAATCATGCATCCTGAAAAGGCTCTGGCACACCTCCTGTGGTCTTGGCTTCCATTTGACATGGATGACAGTGAGGTGGCATCACGTGGGAGGGTGTCCTGGGAACAAGTAGAGATGCCGACACAGAGTGCTGCAGTACTCAGACATCTCCTTGCATCGGTGAAACTCTGTGCCGGGGGCGTAGCCTTCACGCTCCTTGATAAGTGCATTTACCTGGAAGGGCAAAATCAATGGCCCAAGCATGAGCACCTTGGGCTTCAGGAAAGCAGTATGCAGAAAGCAAAAAAAGATTATGAAAAGAAATGTGAGCAAGGAGGAAGGCAGAACACTGTGGAGGCATACAGGGTCAAGGAGTCAGTCTGAGCTGAGTTACCTTAACCAGCATGTCAGCCACGTGCATGTCACAAGCCCTTTCTGAGAACACTTGAGTGACAGCCTCAATGTACCAGGAACCTCGTTTGGTGTTCCGCATAGCGGCAGTCCCTGCAAACAGAAGAGCATAAATCACAGTGTGAAGGTCAAGGGATGCCCTCACACAGCTGGATTTCCTAAACTAGACTTTTATGGCATCTGTACCCTCTCCAGTCAAAGCACCCAGCATTAAAAGTGCATATAATCTTTTAATTACTGGTATACCTTGAAGATATTGTGGGTTTGGTTCCAGACCGCTGCAACAAAGCAAATATGACAATAAAGCAAGTCACACAAATGTTCTGGGTTTGCAGTACATTTCAAAGTTATGTTTACACTATACTATAGTCTATTCAATGTGTAACAAAATTATGTCCAAAAAAAATAATGTCTATGCCCTAATAAGGAAATATTTTATTGCTAAAAAATGTTGACAAGAGACATGAAGTGGGCATAGGCTGTTGGAAAAATGGCACTGATAGACTTGCTTGATGAAGGGTTGCCACAAACCTTCAATCTGTAATAATGCAATACAGGCTCAAGTATCCCAAATTTGAAAACTCAAATTCCTTCAAAATCTAAAACATTTTTTTTTTTTGAGTTGAAGTCTTATTCTGTTGCCCTGGCTGGAATGCAGTGACATGATCATGGATACAGCAGCCTCGACCTTCTGGGTTCAGGCAATCATTCTGCCTTAGCCTTCTAAGTAACTGGAACTATAGGCGTGTGCCACCATGCCCAGCTAATTTTCTAAAAAATTTACTGTAGAGACAAGGTCTCACCAAGTTGCCCAGGTTGGTCTTGAACTCCCAGGCTCAGGCAATCCTCTCACCTCTACCTCCCAGAGTGCTGGTGTTATAGGCATGAGCTACCATGCCTAGCCAAAATCTAAAACTTTTATGGCATTGACAGGATACTCAAAGAAATTGCTCACTGGAGCACTCTGGATCTAGAATTTTTGCATTCCAAAATCCCAAAATAATCCGCACTCTGAAACACTTCAGTACTCAGACATCTCCTTGCATCAGTGGAACTCTGTGCTGGGGGTGCAGCCTTCACATTCCTTGATAAGTGCATTCACCTGGAAGGGCAAAACCAATGGGCCAATGCATTTCAGATAAGGCATACTCAATTTGTATTTGCAAAGCATGATGAAGTGCAGTGCAGCAAAAGAAGGCATGACAACTCTTTTGGAACTCAAAGCACCTTTGAGGCAGGCATAGCCACATATCATGTCCGAGCAAGTGGGCAGTCTTATCTTCAGTGACTCTTCTTTACCAGCATCCCTCTCCTCACTCCCAGGGGAACCAGGGTGGCTCTTTCCATCTTGCTGGTCGACCCCACGATCGGTCTCATCTGTACAAAGGCAGACAACAGACAATGATGTTACCTCCTCCCATCTGTCTTGGGCCTGTCACAGGCAAGCTCAAGTTCCTTCCAACTTTGACTAGGAAAAGCCATTTCCAGCTGTTGCCTACACCTGTGGTTGATAAATTTAAAAGATATTAATAATTACTCTCTCAGCATGCCTCCATCCCTCAGAGGGTGCCTACTACAGGCCAGGCACCCTGTGCAAGCACATGCACACATACACGGTCGGAGCAATTCCCTTTCTGTGCAAGGCAGAGAAAATGCCAAATCAAATACATCTGAGTCCATGACTTGCTTGTTCAAGTAGCAGTATACCTGGGAGTTACAGTGCTTTTTCTTGCAACAAACAGGAAAATACTGATACATTTATTATATAAATAAGAACAAACAAATTAGTAAGCTAAAAGTATGGTTACTACATGTATGCTATATAAAAATCACAACCTTGGTTGGGCGTGGTGGCTCAGTCTATAATTGCAGCACTTTAGGAGGCCGAAGCGAGAGGAGTGCCTGACCTGCCCGGGTAACTTGGTGAGACCTTGTCTCTACAGTAAATCACAAAAACTAGCCAGGTGTGGTGGCATACATCTATAGTTCCAGCTACTTGGAAGGCTGAGGCAGAAGGATTGCCTAAGTCCAGCAGGTCAAAGCTGTGGTAGCCATGAGTGTGCCACTGCACTCCAGCCTGGGCCATAAGAGTGAGACTGCAACTCAAAAAAAAAAAAAAAAAAAAAATCGCAATCTCAAACTATATAACAAAATTATAAAACTAAGCATAATTAGCTGTTTCTGTTATTTTTAAAGCACTTATTACTTACTAGTTTCCTAGGAGAAATTACAGCAAGCACCCAAGATTTAAGAACAATTTAAAAGAGGAAAAAAACTTAAAATTGAGAGAATGCAACTATTTTCTCCTACAAAATTGAAAAAGAACACCACTGTTAAATTTTATCAGTAGTTTCTCAACACGCCCTGAGCACAAGCCTAGGCCTTATCTATCCCAAGCTGATTCTTATATTTGAAGTTGCTGTTTTATTTTGGGGGTGGGCAGCAGTGTTATCGGTAGGAAAGAAACAGAGAACTTTCAGGTCAATACACCCAAGGTAAAGGAGTATGTATGCTCTTTTACAGTACTTCCTGCCCTGTGCAGCACTCAAGAGAGCCTAACAAGGGAAGCTTGAAGAATTGTGGGGAAAAGAATTAAGGCTCAAAGGTTCAATATAAATTTATTAAGTGACTGCCATGTGTCAGGCACTGTTTGTATACAGTGGAGAAAAAGTTCTTGCCCTCATGAAGTTCACACTCCAGCTTAGAAGTCAATTGGAGCAGGGGAGGTACTTTTTACAAACATTTATTAACCAAATATAGCAAGATGACAGGTAAGGGCAAATTTTCAAAGGAATGATGGCTACTAATCATCCCTTAAAGAATTTAATTTTAGAGATGTTGAAGAGACAGAAGATTTAGATTACCCCAAAAAAGAGCAATTTCTCCCTATCCAGACTCAACATTGTATATATCTTTGGATATGCCAGGAGAAAATGACCACAATGTATTTTGCTAGCAATGATTCCTAAAGGAAATAGTTGCCAAGTTGAATGTATCCTACAAGAGAAAGGAAAACCTCTCACCTTCATATTGCAGACCCGTTAATCAACAAACCCTACTAGTTCTTTTGTTACAATATCCTCTTATCTGTTTTCTATGTTATTGCTACAGTTTTTTTGACAGATTAACTGCCACCCATTCATTCAACATTTAGAAGTACCACCATGTGTCACACAGTACTCTGGGTCTGGGGATACAGCAGTGAGTGACAAGTTAAATTCCTACCCCATAAGCACTTTCTTTAGGGCAGCCCCAGCTGTGCAACACTTCAGGAAAAAGAACTCATCACATTCTTTCTTAAGCTTCCAACAGCTCTGTTCTATTATCTGTTGAAGTCCAATATCTCAGCTATGCCTAAAGGTTTGTAATCAACTGGATCTATTTCATGTAACCAGCCACATTTCACATCCTACACAGATACTCAGTTTTAAAATCAGGTCTGGGCACTTTTTTTTGAACGGGGGGAGGGGAATACAATGCCATTTTAGTCTTGGTGTGCTTGTCATGTTTCACTGTGAGAGACTGCTATCACAAAACTAAGGAAATCATATTATTCTGGGTCTGAATAAAGCCTTACTTATCCACAAAATCTCTTTAAACTAACCTCACTTAAAATCATCTATTCCTACTGTATACTTCTTCGTATGCACAGTTTATATCTCACTAATTTCATCCTTGCTTCTATGAGGCCTCTAAAATAGTCTCAAGCTGCCTCATAACATATTTGCTTATTTTCCTGGTAGGCTCCTTAGAGAAGCCACATTTTCTTTTGTTTTTGTTGTGGTATCGAGTATAGTCCTAGTCATGCTGTAGAAACTTAGTAAAATATATTCTGTGGCAATATTAGATTAGGGGGGTAATAATATTAGCCATTTACAGTTGGTCACACAATAGATCTAAGAAAATTAATTATTTGATTGTTTGGACAAGCTACTTTTAAAGTAAACTATATGCCCTTTAGGACACCATCATGTTATAAGAGTTATAGCTGGCATTTTGTGTGGCTGTACTAAGAGTACTTACTTGGAACTGTTCCAAGTAAGCCCTTAAATGCATAATTCCACTTAACTATCACAACAACATTATGAAGCAGGTACAATGACATTCTATCTGAAAGAAACTGAGGTAGAGTTTCCTTAGCTTCACAAAACTAGGAAATGTGGAGTCAGGACTTGACTCCGGAGTTTGAGCTCTTAATTACTACTGTTTTCTTCCAGGATGAGAAACACATGTGTTTTCTGAGCCTCATCCCAGTTCTGGTTCTTAAAAGGGTGAAACAGACCACATGTAAGAAAGAAGAGGTACAGAAGCAGCTCACAGAGGAGGAAGAGTCAAAGCTGGCATGGATTCTATACTGCTATCCTGTGTGGTCCACGAATGATAAAGAGAAGAAAGCAAGAGTGGAAGTGTAGGGGAACAGAGAAGTGCAAGGAGAAGTGGCAAGACAGGAGACAAAAACAGGAAGGAGATAAAATGACAGGAAAAGAGACAGATCCAAAAATCCATAACTGAATGAGTAACCAAAAAAAAGGGCACCAAAGTTAAGCGGCACAGAAAAGAGTAAGAGTTCTCAAACAGAAGGCAAAGATGCTGGTAAGAGACTCCTGAGAATAGGATATGGTGGTGCACAGAGAGCTGACCAGCCGGAGAGCCATGGGCTGCCCAAGTCCCAGCACACCCCATGCATCGGGAGACACTTACAGAGTAAGAGAGGCGGTGGCAGCAGTGAACAGAAGAAGGTGCCCAAGGGATCCAATAGCACCTGAGAGGAGCAAACAGGAAAGTGAGAGCTGGTGGGAGGCTGCCCAGAAGCCACCACCCAGGTGCTGGTCTGCCAGGGCACTCACCTCCACGGCAGGCCTGGATGAAGAACATTTTGGGCTTGTTCTGCAGGCTTGGGCAATTGGCATTGTCAAAGAGCTGAAAAATCTCCTGCAGCTGCCAGAAAAAAAACAAGGGAGAAGGGAGGTTAAGTAATCAGAGGGGCCTCCTGAAGTCCTACACACACAGGGGCACCATCACCAGAAAGATGGGCAGGTGGGAGGTAAAGCGGCTTAGTTTAACAATTAGCTTCCAAAGATTATACGCACCTGGAGCAGCTTGCCATCCACACCAAAGATGGCACCGTCTACACCATGCGAGAGGAGAGCCACAATGCAAGAGTCCATGATGCGGTGTGCAGGCAACTGTGCAAAACTCTGGAGTTTCTCTTGCATTTCCTAGGAAAAAGGGCATCTTTTAGTGTTGCTCACTGTAGTCAGCACCAATTTTTTGTTTGTTTGAAACCCTAAGCTATTAGAAGATAATTTTCTTTTTTGCACATTCCTGTAGTCAATGATGACAGAGTCAGAAACCCTTTAAGAGACTAAAGAAAGCTATGGACTCACCAGAGAAATGAACATGACCTCAGACACAAAATTCTGAATTAATTAAAAGTTGATCAGTTCATGATTAGCTTTGTTAGTAATTGCTTTAATAGGAGTTCTTTGCCTATTCTCCTATTAAAGCAATTACTAACAAAGCTAATCATGAACTGGCCAACTTTTAATTAATTCCCTGATCATAACTAGATCCTTTATTAGACCAAGTGTCCTTATATATAAATGATACAAAGGGAACAACTAGAGGAGCTGTGAATAAGTAACATACCTATCCACCTACAAGAAAATAAACTGCTTTGTGACAAAGAATTTCTGTCTGGATTTCTTTTTTTGAGTCAGAGTCTCACTCTGCTGTCCAGGCAGGAGTGCAATGGCACACTGATGACTCAATGCAACCTCCTACTCCTGGGCTCAAGTGAACCTCCTGCATCAGCCTCCTACATAGCTAGGATTACAGGCACATGTCACCACACCCGGTTATTTTATTTTATTTTTCGTAGAAACGAAGTCATGCTTTGTTGCCTAAGCTGGTCTCTAACTCCTGAGTTCAAATAATCCTCCCGCCTGTGACTCCCAAAGTACTGGTATTACAGGCTTGAGCCACCACGCCTGGCCCTGACATTTTAAGTACCCAAGAGACAGTCATGATCTCTATATGAAATGCTTTGCTCTGGGAAGAGCACACAGTGAAGGATTCTATACAGGCCAGTGATTATACATACATGGGCTCTGGGGTCAATCCTACCTAGGTTTGAACCCTGGGTTCATAAACTGGAATTAATTATTTAGCCCCTCAAGGCTTTAATTCTACTCTGTAAGAAAGTAATTATGAGCAAATGTCTCTAAGTTTGTGAAGATTAAATAAAATATTACATAGGACTTACTACTGTGTCTGAGACATACTGCAAAAATCTGCCATTATTTTAGGATGTATGTTTAATAAAGTTATTTTTTTTCCCCAAAGAAACTTACCACTGGTCAACATTGTAGTCCTACTTAGAATTTTATTCTTGTTTGTGCTTTTTTGTTGTTGTTGTTGTTTTAAAGACAGGGTCTTGCTATGTAGCCCAGGTTGCAGTGCAGTAGCTATTCACAGGCACAATCCCACTATCAATCAGCAAAGCAGTCTTTTTTTTTTTTTTTTTTTAAATTAAACTCTACCATTCTAGGAAGCACAGGAGTTTTGACCCGCTCCACTTCTGCTCCAGGCCAGTTCACTTCTCTGTAGACAACCTGGTGGTCTCCCACTCATGGAAGGTCACCATATCGATGCTGAAATTAGTATGGACACCTGACTGGTTTAGTGAACTACAAGCTACCCTCTGGTTTAGTGAGCTCAAGTTATCCTCCTGCCTCATTCTCCCGAGTAGCTGGGATTATAGGTACATGCCACCATACCCAGTGAATCTTGCACACATGTAAGTTGCCATACATGATTACCACTACCTGAAGCATTTGGTTTATTCAACAGAAAGTTATACCATACCTAATAGTTAAAAATCTGGCATAAATCTTTAAACCTTTATCTCCCTCTACAACTCAAGATGTCTGGGATGAGATCTCTCCTGAGATGAGCAGAGAGAAAACAAGTTCATTTTATTATAAATTTGAATGAAATATAATGAAATGAATATACTATCTAGGTAGAACCATTACAAAATACACATATTTAAAATTTACCACACACACTCTCAAAAAATAAAAAGCACACTTGTAGTGGTTCTCAAACTGTGGTCCCTAAAGCAGCAAAACAGCATTATCACCCAAGAACTTGTAAAAAATGTGAAATTGTGGGCTCCAGCAAACTGTGTTTTCGTAAGCTGTCCAGGCCAGGTGCAGTGGCTCACACCTGTAATATCAGCACTTTGGTAGGCTGAGAAAACCAGGGGCTCTAAACCATCCTGGGCAACACAGTGAGACCTTGTGTCTCTTAAAAAAAAAAACAAAAACTCAAAAAACCGAAAGTCTGAAATATAACTGGAAATGGAAACTGGGTTTGTTGGAAAAGTATTAATATTTTCTGGGTAAATAGAAGCAAACTAAAATAATGGAAATATTAAGGTAATAAAAGATATCCAAAATTCATCTGTTTCAAAAACATGTAATTTGCAGGGAATACATAACTGTGAATGTTCCTCTGGAACTGATCATAATAGAATCTAACATATAATAGTTAAAGAAGTTAATTTTGCTCAGAGAAGAAAATAAAAATGACATACTTGGGCACCTAATCATGAGCATTTTGAATTTAGATTATTAGGTCAGTTAATACAGAACAAGGCCCAAAGACAGAACACACACTTTGCAACTGAACTTAGACTAAACTATCCAATAAATGGGGATTAATCATTTGGAGAAATCTTTTCACAAGTAGCGTACTTTAAAATATAATCTGTAGATTTATTTCTAATAAAAGTACAGTACTTCTATAAACAGCAAGGTTCTTAACTGTTGCAAATGTTTTTGAATGGAGGTTGGGAGACACATGAAGAAAATACCTGTATAAATTACATACAAAATTGTATGGGTAGCCACATTTTCCAGGAATGACCCAAAGCTTATCCCTAAATTTCAAAGCAGTCTGTGACCCAAGTGCAAGTTTAAATACAATACCATATGGTAAAAAAGAAATCTGTCACTTTAAAATGCATCTCATTTCCCAACATATGGTAAATTCTAATTCTAGAACTAGTATCTTTATGAGGCAGATGCAATGAAAATTTTATGACAAAGAGAAGCTCAAAACATACTTGGGCAGTGAAAATACCAGTGTTCTCTCCCATACTATCAAGAGAAAATTATCTAAGACTAATTATACTATTTCCTATCTTTATTTTTATTTACCTTCTATTTTTATTTCACCCAGGCTAGAATGCAGTGGCACAATCTCAGCTCACCACAGCCTCAACCTCCTGGGCTCAAGTGATCCTTCCACTTCAGCCTCCCAAGTAGTTGGGACTACAGGTGTGTGCCACCATGCCTGGCTAATTTAAAAACTTTTTTTTTTTTTTGTAGAGATGAAGTCTCACTATATTGTCCAGGCTGGGGTTGAACTCCTGGCCTCAAGTGATCCTCCCACCTTAGCCTCTCAAATGCTGGGATTACAGGCATAGCTAGGATTACAGAACCACCACACCTGGCCCTATTTCCTATTTTTAAATGGAATTTATTGCTAAAGTCAAAAAGATTTGATGGGGAAAAAAGGAGGATCTTAATTTTTTTGGTTCTGTTTCTTTGCACACAAAATAATTATAAGAGTCTCTTGAGAGTTTCCATCAGGAAAAGAGTATTCTGTGCAGATGCTCAATGCACCAAATTACGATACCTATTGTGACTACCTGGTATATAATGTACATAATTCTTTTCCATACAACGTCTTCCCTGCCTAGGATGGCTTCACCACTCCTCTATGCTTTAACTTCTATCCTTCAAGGCCACATTAAGGTCCATCTCCTCCAGTCATCTTTCTGACTATTTCTACCAAGGCATTTCTTCTTAACTACTATAGAAGATGCTATCTCTGATCTTCCTTGGTCCTTAAGAATATAAGAGAATATGCTTCCTTTTCTGCTGATGTCAAGACCTAACTGAAATCTCTTGAACTCCAGGCCTACTTTTTAAAAATCTCTAGTAGCTCACATAACTCCTATTATAAGACACTCAAAATTGAACTCCACTGTAATTCCAGTCACAGAACAATGTAACTAGAGAATTCAAATCCAGTAGGTTCTTGAATTTGTATCAGGTTTAGCAGGAATGGCACTTGTGAATTGGGCTCATAAACTCACCAAATCTGAATGTCTCTGAAAAAACAGCAGTATACATTGACTTGGTGACTATTATATCTTTAACTACTAGACACGTTAAGATTCCTTGTCAATTTGAAAACCATAACATATAGATTTCTAGTAAAAGAAATGGCTAGATCAAAACCCTCAAGAAAACATACATAGTGTACATTTTGTTAAATGACTTTCAGCAGAAATTCTGGCTGATATCCTACCCTTGTGCCGTTCACGTCCAGCAGACCTCTCAGAAAAGTGTATAACCTACTTGAATACTTGGTGACTGAAGAAGCTGTTCCTGCCATGGCTTTCAAGCAAAGGTTTGTCTGTTACTTTGCATGAACCACTATAGGGAAGCTGGCAAAAACAGCCTTGAAAGGACAATAGCCAGGTGCCTACCAAATTGGCCTTGCCAAAAGTATAGCAAATGCACATCTATTCCCACAGAAATACAGATGAGAAGCAGAAATGAAGACCTTAGACAATGATGAATGCAAAACAAAGATCCTCTACCTCAAGAGATGTAAGTGAATCTCTTAGAAATTTTAATTTCATCACTGACAACCCCAAAGGCAAGTTTAAGTAAGTATTATGATTCTGGAATCAAAATAAAGAATTAATAAAACTCTACAATTAGGCTATTATTGACTTCAAAACAGAAAGCCTAAAGGCAACTAATATACAGCTCAGTAACAGAGGTTAACGAGGAATAACCCATAATGAAAATGCTTAGGATTCATGGGAATCTAGTCCAGAAATAATCTATTTTAAGACATGACTTATGGTCATACAACTGTTAAGAATAAAGAAGTCCCCCATGTGTTAATTCATTAGACTGCCACCAAATAGTATTTACCGGGACTATTCTAGCAAACTTTCATTTGCCAGAATTTTATCTGCCAATTATGATTAAACAATACTTGTAGAACCAACGCTACTGCCCCTTGAAAGTGAACCAGAAAAAGAAAACATGGTCTATATACACGATGAAGTATCACGTAGCCACAAAGAACAAAATTATTTACTTCATAAAGAAGTAAATGTTCTGTGTAGTCTTTGCAGCAAATTGGATGGAGTTGGAGTTGGAGACCATTATACTTAGTGATCTATCACAGAAACAAAGAACTGAATACCACATGTTTTCACTAATAGGTGGAACCTGAACATTAATCACATTAGCACAAGGGAGGGATGGGCAGTCGCTGGGCACTGCTGGTGGCAATGGGGGGTTGGGGGTGGCACATAACAACACAAAGGGTACCTGTTCCTAGACCAAGAGGTGTGAGGGCCAATTGGATGCCCAAACTTCACAGGCATGCAGCCTGCTTGTGTAGTTAATCCTTACTTATACCCTACATCTCCATAGTAAAATAAAATTTAATTATAATAAAAAAGAAAACTAAACAACAATTGGAGTCCTAAGTAGCAATATCAACTAAGAAGTAAATGTTCTGTGTAGTCCTGGTTTATAAACATCTTTTATGCATTGGTTAGATGAAACACTGTGTCATATCACTTCCTGAGTAACTGGGAATCAAGTTTCTGAACATGTAAAAGTGAGTACCCAACCCTGGACTATTATTACTCTATAAAAACCCAGCTACCCTGAGACATCAACATTGAAACAGCTGTCTGGCCATAATTCATTTCCATTAGATTGCAATGTGAGAGGTAGAACAGAGTGAGTAAAAAGGTAAGGAGAGTAAACTGTAAGACAGATCCCAGCAAGCACAAGAGCAACAGAAGTCTCTGGCCCCAAAGTGCTGCCCAGTCTGTTAATTTACATATCAGTTTTTCCTGACCCAGGTACCTGTGCAGTCTGGTCATGTAACACATGGATGTCGTAGCCCAAAAGCTTGAAGAGGGTGACTAGAGTACTGTGGTCCACATCCCCTCCAGAGCGAAATTCCAGGTCCTTCTCTCCAGTGAAGTGCACATTGCTCAGCACCAGTGCGAGGCCACGAGGCCGAGACTGCAACCTATAGGCCTGGGGAAGGGATGCCAATTAGACCACAAGCTTCTTGATGACATGATTCCCTCGCTAGACTAGACAATTAAAGCAAACAAAGGTATCATATTCTTAATTCCACTAGGTGAAAATAAAAAAAGGCCCACAGAAGGCATTCAATCAGCAACAATTTTCTGACTAATAAAGCCATAACAAAATGTATATGTAAACTTGGTTCAGATGCCCAGGAAGGGTATCTCATTTCCCAACTCTTTTCTTCTTGTCATTATGCAAAACTTACCAGTTGGTGGTGTATTTGATAAAACTCAGGAGTGCAAGGCTTCACCTGAAGGGATGGAGGACCATCTCCATTGTCCAGGGAATGTTCCACATCTGTGGTATAGACAGAAAGTCAAAAAACTAGTATATAATTTAAGTATCAATCCCAGTATGTCATTACACCTTCAGGTACCCCTCTGAAATGGGTTTTGATAAATACTGGGTCTCTCTCACTTCTCGAATTATAAGCACCCCGAGGGCAGAGACCCTGTTAGCTTTAGCACCAGTGGGTCCTCTGTACCTACTTTGCATGTAGCAGGTACTCAACTTGCTGACTGACTGACTGGGCTATCTCATAAGAACCTGGTTCTAATCCCTCAGTTACTCCATTGGCAGGCGGGTGGCCTCAAATGTGGGTCTTTTTTCATTCAGTTTTATAGATGAGACAGGCCAATCGTGTAGGAATTTTCTACCTGTATAAGTTGTTGCTCAAAGGGCCAATTACATAAATAATATCTGTAATGGAAGGGAAATGGGACCAATGAATACCTCATCTAAACTATCCTACTAGTCCCTAGCAAATTCACTGAGAATTGTTCCCAATACAAAATACATCTCATGTTAGGGCAAAGCCAGATACCAGAAAAAAGAGAAGCCAATTTATGGGACTTCCTTTATCCCACCAATTCTCACCTGTCGACAGGCGGAGCTGCTTGTGAGGGGGACAGGACTCACACACCGGGAAAGAGAGACTCAAGTCGTAGTCACAGCTCAACTGTAAAAAATCAGGACTCACCATGATAGACCTTAGGGATATGGTCCAGTCCAAATACAACAAAGTCTCCCCACCCTGTCTGAAAAATTCCTTTCAAGTCAAACTAGCCCTTCCCAGCACAGCACATTTCAAGGGCTGCATACCGGTGGAAGCATCTGCTGAAGACCAGAGAGGGTTGTGAGCAACAAATCCTCCAGGTGACCTTGCTTGGTCTCCCTTAGTGCTATACAGAAGGCATCAAAAGCTTGGGGACCCCTTTTGGGCAGCAAGTTGAGAAGTTCCACATTCTGGCTGAAACTGCCCACTTTGGCCTGAGATACAAGAATAAAACATGAAATTATATTTACTCATCTAGCTATAATTCTATTTCTCCACATGTGCTTCCTAGTAGTATCCTCATCCACTTCAATAATTCCTTTTATAGAAAAAGTATGAACAGGTGAAATCCTTTCCATTCTTCTTGAATTATGTATCTTTTCTGTCAAATGCTCTAGAAAGGCATTTCCATTTTCTTAGTAAGGCACTATATCCTTTCCACACTTTATCATGCTCAGTTTCTACACCTACGATCAATTTATCTTAACTTCTTTCTGCCTCCAGATACCTGGATGAGCTCCCTCATTTCCAAGGTGATGATGTCCTTCTCCAGAAGATGTTCTAACAGTTCACTCAGCAACAGCTGTTTGGCTAGCACTACTCGGTTCTTTTTTAGAGTTTCCTGATGGTCAGGATGCATGCCACACACTCCCAGTATCCTACAGATAAAAGGTAGAGGGAAAGACTGTTAAGTACAAAATTTGGGACAGAAGAGAAAAGAGGCACCAGCAGGAAGAACAAAAAAATAGGACTTAAAATAACCAAGACTTCTGAATCTGGTTAAATCAAAGATGTACTAGGTAAGCAGCAACACATTGATCGTAAGGAAATGATGTATAACTCTTTATGGTAGAATTATGGTTTGATTCTTTATAATTCCCTTTCAAATATCCGCTTCAACTAAAACTATCTGAGATGAATGATCTAAGGGAAGAAAATGTCTCTTAAAATAATACACACAAGCACACATGTTCATGAGAGAAAATACTTCTGTCTGACAGACCGATTAAGATAATTATTCCAGAAAACATTTCACACTGTCTAGGCTGCTGAAAGTAATGTAAGTTTAAAATGATCTTGGGTGAGAAATTAAATAATTTAATGCAGTGGCAACAACTCAAGTCAATGGCCAACTTTAATAGAAAACGACACATACACATACACTCTCACTAGCCTACTTATACAAATTATAACTCTGTGTGTGTGCGTGTGTGTGTGTGTATTTTTTTTAGTCAGAGTCTCACTGTCGCAATGGCGTGCTCACAGCCACTGCAGCCTCAACCTGCTGGTTAAGGCGATCCTTCCACCTCAACTTTCCAACTAGCTAGAACTACAGGCATGTGCCACCACACCTGGCTAATTTTTTTGATTTATTATTGAGACAAGGTCTCGCCATGTTGCCCTGGCTGGTCTCAAGCAATCCTCTTGCTTCTGCCTCCCAAAGTGCTGGGAATACAGGAGTGAGCCACCACACCTGGCTAAAAATTATAACTATAATTTAAAAATTTTAAGTTCCTGTAATAAAACAACACTAGAAATGATCAAAGTCCTGTAAATTGTGGAAAAGTACAAAGTATGGCAGAAAATCACAGTAAATACCAATCATAAGCACAAGTAACAGAATTTGAAATCACTTAGAATCAAAGAAAGTAATGATTAAAATATTCTGGCAATTTAATTTACTAAGGATGCCTTTATTTCAATGATTCCCTGGTTTTGTTATTGGCTTGCAAAGAGCTCATCTACTTATAAACTAAAAGAATTCCATTTCCTATATGTCATCTAGTTTATATTAACCCAGAGCTCTCTAGCCTGCTTAGACAGTTTCCAAATGCATAACAATAAGAGCCTCACAGCAGTGAGAAAAATAGATAATAATTTCAGTTTACTATTTAAAAACGCATCCTGATTTCAAAGATGTCAAAATGGGGTGGGGTTGCATCTCAGAGTCAGTGAAATACTTGGGTTAGAAATTTATTGGCAGAGGGAAAAGTAAGGTCCTGGAGGAACTGAGAAAACCAAAAAGACAAGTAGGATCTTAAGACAGAAAGTAGGCTGAAAGCAATCAATAAATTTTTGGTTTGGGACAGCGAGTCTGAAACTCTTATTTTAACTTCTTTCTGTTCTACTGTAGTATTTCTGCTAAAAACTTGCTACAAAAACAAACTCTACATAAATTTTAAAAAAATTAAGAATTACTTTAAAAACACATCAAGGCCAGGTGCGGTGGCTCACGCCTATAATCCCAGCACTTCAGGGGGGCCAAGGTGAGAGGATTGTCTGAGCCCATGGGCTCAAGACCAGCCTGGGCAACTTGGTGAGACCTCATCTATACAATAAATTAAAAAATTAGCCAGGCATGGTGGCACGTGCCTATGGTTCCAGCTACTTGGAAGGCTGAAGTGGAAAGACCACCTGAGCCCAGCAGGCCGAGGCTGCGGTGGCCATGAGTGTGCCACTGCATTCCAGACTGGGTGGCAGAGTGAGACTCTGACTCAAAAAACAAAAACAAAACCACACACATCAAAGCAGTAACAGTGACATATATAACCTCTATTGAAAATAAGACAATATTGCAGCCAGATTCTTTAGGAAATATAACCAATAATGGATCAGATTTTTTTCCTTTAGTTTACCAGTAGCATTCTGTCCTTCAAACTTTCTCTTCCCTTGGTTTCCATGACAGTATTCTCTGAGTCTTCCCTCTGCCTACCATATTCCTGTTTCCTTCAGAGGGCCTTTGGCCTGCCTCTAAATGTGGACACTCCAGCAAGACTCCCCCTAAAAGAGCCTTTTCCTAAGCAGTCTCATCCATACTCACAACTTACCAACTGACCCACAGTTCTTAACTCTCTCAAGTTTCAGACTTGTATTTTTAATTAACAACTCTTCAGTTTTAATCTGAAGCATGATACACCCACAGCACACGCATCCTTTTCTCCATTTCACACTATGGGAAAAGCCTTAAATGTGAACATTACAAAAGCCTCCATTACTTAGAATACCAGGGCACATCTGAAATGGGAGAAGGTGGAGAAAAGGACACCAAAGAAGGGCGTTCTTAAATCTGAATGCTGTGTTCTTCTGCAGGTTCCCCTTCAGGGTCTTGGCCAAAAAAGCATTAAAATATGTTCTCCTGGGTGAAGCCTACCATGAAATGGAATAACCAGAACGGAGGCACTGACACTTGGAACCACAGAAACAACCTTGTCCTGTCAAACTACTCAACTCTCAAAACCTTTGTTGACTTCTTTAAAAATCTGGTCATTCTACGCAAAGCAATGCTGGTCATGATACAGTCAATACAAATCAAATGCACAACAGGCAGAGGACCGAGGTCTGCAGAAGGCCCCAGGGGTTTTTAAGAAGACAGAGTACGGTTCCTGGTAAGGGAACCAGAGAAAAGCATGGAGAATCTTTAAAAGAAACCGAACTGGAAATCTGGCAGAACTGGAAAGAACTCGCCTTATTCAGAGCCCTCGTGGACTGGACAAAGGGAACCTGGGGCAGCCTTTGCTCACGAGCGAGAGAGCCAAGAGGCACGCCCGCGCGCCCCAGCGCCGAAACAGGCTCGGAGCTGCAGGGCTAGAAGCCGCGCCCCCCTTCTTTGGGCTCCACCAAGGATCCCAAAGACCCTTCCCCACTCACCTGCGCCCTCTATCAGCGGCCATCAGCCCCTTCTCCTGGAGCGCGGGTCGAGAGCCAGCGCTCGGCGCCGCCATTTTCCGCTTTTCCCGGGCTCTGCACGTACCGCCCACGACCCAAACAAACAGTAGGTAGTCACTTTCTCGGCATGCCGCCCCCGGCCTCAGATGCACATTGCGCCTGCGCCCTGCCGTCCCCCGCCCCTCCCCGCCGCCAGCCCGGCTCCGCCCCCACCGCCGCCGGTGCGTGCGCAGGCGCAGAACTCTCGCCGTGGCCGCGCCGTCCAACGGGGTGAGAGAAAGCGAGAGGCGGAAAGGGAAAAGGCGGGAGAAGGGACCGGCCCGGCCTATCTGGAGATCCGATTGGCTGTCGATTCCCGCGGAAATCACCCTGGCACTTCTCACTCCTGCCCCGCCTATTGTACTAGCTTTACGGAGCGAGGTGTGGCCAGACTTTTTGCTTTATTAAAGCTGAGCTGTTGGGGCGAAGGTGCGGAGAAGATGGAGAGCGGGAGGAGGTGCTGGACAAGTGCTCATGCGGTGAATAAAGGTTGGCGTGCAGAGTGCGGCGTCAGTGATGGGTTGGCAGCTCCCACAGTTGCCGAAACCTGCATCGGAGCCGCTGCATGTAATTCCAGAAAATCTGGTGTTCCCTATTGCGATCTGAGGAAGCAGGACAAGAGGCTGGGGTGAAACCCTAGCTGTCAGAGCAGAGCGCGAGAGGGAAGCTGAAGCGGCCCTAGGGCTCCGTAATAGATGATTCAAGAGAGAGTTGAAACCGCCTACATAAAATTAACATAGGGCTCCGGGATAGAAACTGTAGAAGGGACAGCTGTGCAGAAGGTGCAGCAGAAATTAACAAGTCTGTTGGTTTGCAAAGATACTTCAGTATGAGTTCAATTGACTATCTTCATGTCCTGACTGGGG